AAATCAACAGTTTTGCTTAAAACTTAGTGGTATATACATGTGTAGAAAATATAAAAGTGAATAGTAAAGATATACTAATGTAGCAAAGGCTGAATCTAAGGAAAACAAGACAGGAGTGAAGATGTTATCACGGTCTGAATGCCTGACTACTGGGTAGAAGCAGCAATTGACTTCTGTTTTGCAATAGAGGACAGAATTATAACCACTGAGTAGAAGTGCCCTTATACTCATCAGATGCTTCACTATAAGGGAGACGTTCCAAAAATAACTCTAGAAAGGCAATGGGTTTGTATGAAGTCATGAGGTTACTTTTTGTCAAGTTCTTAGGAGGAAGTGCACAGGATTGATGTATTAGGTGGAAGTCAGAATAGCTGGTCCTTAATTTCTCCATTGGTTCTAAGCACTCAGCTTCAAAGGTTTTTGATGAAAGAGGATATGTATTGTTTATTTGTTGTTATGTGTATGTGCCTATACGAGTTACGTGGACTGTATGCATACAGGCACCCTTAGAGGTCAAAAGAGGGCTTCAGATCCCCTGGAACTGGAGTTACAGGTAGTTGGCAGTCATCACAAAGGTACTGGGAACCAAACCCAGGTTCTCTGCAAGAGCAGTAAGTTCTCTTAACCACTGAAATCTCTCCAGTCTTAAAAGATGTGTCTTATTCAGTGTGGTATCTTCTCCACAAGCTTGACATTAAAAGTCAAAAAAAAAAAAAAAAAAAAAAAAAAAAAAAAAGATTCTCAGTACAGATATTGGATGTGGAAAATGAACCCGAAGAATCTCATTCAATTTGGCATGGTGATAAATGCCTGTAATCCCAGCAAAGGCAGAAGGATCGTGAATTAGAGACCTGTCTGAATTTCATAACAAATTCCAGGCTAGCCTGGGTTACACAGCAAGACCATGTCTCCAGTAAAATAAAGAAAAAACATTTATAAAAAATACCACATCCTATTTCAAAGTCAATTTCTTAAAAAAGAAAATAAAACGTTAACAACAACACCCCCCCCAGCCCCCAGGGTTTTACTATGTAGCTCAGACTGGCCCAGAACTCAACATATAGAACAGGCTAGCCTCAAACTCAAATCCACTGGCTTTTGCCTCCTGAGTGCTGGGATTAAAGGAGTGTACTACTACCTCTGACAATTTCTAAAAAAATTTAAATAATCTATCTCACCTACCTACCTACCTACCTACCAACCAACCAATCTGGTATGTGTATATACATGCACAACACAATGTCATGGCGTAAGTGTGGAGGTCAGAGGACAACTTTTGGGATTCAGTCCTTTCTACTTTGTCAGTCCAGGAATTGAACTAAGGTCATCAGGCTTGGTGGCAGTTGTCTTTACATGCTGGACCATTTTGCTGGCCCTCAAAGTCAATTTCAATACACACATCAAAATTTTCTTGTTTAGTATCATTAAAGTTTTGTGTAAATTCCCTCCCTCCCTCCCTTCCTCTTTTCCCTCTGCCTATCCTTCTTCCCTTTGTTTTTTGGAGATAGGGTTTCTCTGTCTCAGTCATGGCTGCCCTAGAATTCACTGTGTAGACCAGGCTTTGAACTCAGAGATCAGCCTACCTCTGCCTCCATAGTGCTGGGATTAAAGGCATGAGCTATCACTGCATAAATTTATTTCTTGATTTAGACTATAAACTAAATTTGAAGTATGTATTCTATTGAAATATGTTATTTATGGAAGCAAGATATAATAAAACTTTGATCTGCATTATTGTTTTCTCTCCCACTTTAATTTTTTTAAAAATGTATGTTTATATAAAATGTGAATAGAAGCACCTATATGTACTTGGGTACCCATGGAGTCCAGAAGAGGGCATCAGATTCCCCAGGAGCTGGAATTACATGTAGTTTTAAGTTGCCCATGTAGGTGCTAGGACCAAACTCTGGTCCTCTAGAAGAGCAGAATATGCTGTTACCTATGGAGCCATTTTTTTTTCAGCTCCCTTTCTACCTTTTGATAGAATTTAAAAAAAAAAAAAAATCATATGTTTTATGTGATGGAGAGATGGAGCAGTGACTAAGAGCACTTGTTGCTCCTGCAGAGGGACTAAGTTTGGTTCCCAGCACACACATGGTGACTCATAACCATCTCATTCAGGGGATCTGATGTCCTCTTCTGACCTCTGTGGCACCAGGCAGGCACATGATACATATACATACATACAAGCAAGCAAAACACACATATAAAATAAAAGAAACCATATGTTTTTTAGGTGTGTTCTTTTGTGAGCCTTTGCTAAGCTGCTGTTGTAGCAGTGTAAAATAGTACATCTGTATCCTCCGTTCCCCAGTCTCCATATTCTGAGGCCCAACTTCATAGCACATTTGTTTCTCAATTACTGACTCTGCATTTTACATCATCGAAGTAGGGCTACCATCTAGTGGTGAAAGCATGTAGCAGCTGGCTCTCCATCATGCTTGCTATTTTAACAACTTGTCACCGGTTTAAAATATAAAAGAGTAACAAGAATCATTATTTACTACCAGGAACTGACAATCTTTCACCAAGATCTCTAGTCAACCTGATAGACAAGTTGAGTCATGTCATTTCTCTTCTTTATATGTGAAGATGGAAACTAATTCACAATATAGGCCACCAGGAAAGGAAATGTTTGGCTCTATTACATGTTGTTTTTGAAAGTAGATTAAATGTAGACAAAAATTAAAAAAGAATTTAACTATAGGTCATGAATGCAGATAGATACACTCAAACAACAGAAGCCTGCCTGGCTCTTCTACCTGAAAAGGCATAATGAACGCATCACGAATTCATTCTTTAACTGTCAGGGCTCTGAAATTTCTTCACAGTCTTTCTAAATTATGTGAAAACTTAAAAATTTTCTTAAAAAGCGACTTCTCTCTCTATCAAGAGAAAAGTGGAATGAGTTTAAAAGCTCTCAGTGGTGAGAAGTAGCTATGGCACAGCTTAGTCATTTGAGCCTAAAGTGATAGATTCAGGCCAAGCGAGCCACTGAGCAAACCACTAAGATACCATCTGTGCGAGCCTAAGAATAACTTCACTGCTGGTGCCAGAGCCATGGAGATGTCTTTGAAGGCTCATTGCTCACTTTAAAAACTTCAATGGGCCACCTCCTTTTTCAAAAGCTGGCATATGTTGGCATGCATAAGCAGAACATTTATTCACCAACAATCTCTTGGCCCAGCACACAAAACTGCAATCCAAAGGCTATAATTTGCTGGCATTTCATATTTTCATTTTCATTCACTATCAAAGATTTTTTTCCATTGGTAACATTCAGAAAATAAAGAATATAGGCCCACTTTTGGAGTAATTTCTTACTTAGTTGGTTCTTTCTAGGCTAAAAACAACTGACAAAAATAGTTACCAAAATAAAATATATATTCCTGTATTGCAGACCTTTATGACGTATGTAGTTATTATCTTCCCTGTTTTTGCCATTAGCAGGGTGTCTGTTTAGCTTGGTTACTTTCATGCCCAAGAATACAATTAGCCAATTTCATACTATACTTTATGTTGCATTTGTTCTAGAAAAAAAACTCACTGTACTTTAAAATAATGCTAATGTTTCAGCTACTTCATGTCATTATTTGACTAGGTTTCTAGTAGAAAGGGCATTGGAAAGAACAGATACCCAGTGAAAAGTTCTGTTTTTAGGTATTCATTGTTACACTTTTGTTTTTACTTAATTTGGCCAGGTAAGTGCTGTACCACCAAGCCACACACAATTTCCAGACTTTTATTACTGTATTTTTATCTGCACATTTCTTTTGGGGTGTGAGTATAAAATTACCACAGTAGCAGTTATTGTTATCTCAGTGTGTATAAATTTACATTCTGTACTTCCATGTGATTCTTGATACTCTTTAGCGTATGCTACTGTTTTAAACTGCTATATTATTGTTATAAGATTTTTTTGCAGTTTAATACCTATTTCTGAGTAATAGATTCATTTTTGTAAATTGGAGACAAAGTAGCATAGTGCTACATCAAATTATAAATTTCATAATATAAGCGGTAATATGCAAATACCATGAAAATGATGACAGCAGAGATAATAATAATCAGCTGTATTCAATGAATGACTAATAGTTTTTTTGTTCAATTATTAAGCCAATGGAATTTCCTAAAAAAGTGGGATTTCATGGCTTTTTAAAAAAAATCATAAACTTCTTAGGTCCTAGTTGCTATAGGTGCAGGCATGTAAAAAATAGCAAGCTAGAAAGAATGAAGCATATTTACCTCTTTACTTTTCTGCTCATTAAGTTCTTTTCCGAGAAACAAGGAGTGTGAGCACCTCACAAGTTGGAGTTATGAGTATGTTATTTTAGATTCCTATATGATTTGTTCTCTATTTACACATAAGCTACTTCTCATGATCTCTAGACACAATTTTAGGGATCTGGGGACATCTTTTTTTTGGGGGGGAATAAACTGTTAACAATTACTATCAGTATTACTTAGAAATGCTAAAACCCAACCAAATATGAAAATTTTAAGAGTAAAGACATCGTATAGAGAGGTGGATTAGTGTTTAAGAGCACTGGCTGCTCTTCCAGAGGACCCAGGTTCGATTCCTAGCACCCACATGGCAGCTCACAACAGTCCTGAAGCTCCAGTGGGAATCTGATTCCCTCTCTTGGCTTCCTCAGGCACTGCCTCCATATGAGCCCAGATACACTCAGAGGCAAAATAGCCACACAAATAAAATAAAAATAAATCTCAAAAAGAGTAAATATATGCCTTATAATACCAGACAGAATATTAATGCAATTTTATACCACAGACATCTGCTAAGTATTGACCCATATGTGAAGGGATATGAAAGTAAATAAAAAAAATTACCCATTTATTTTTACTCTTTACCTTCTTTTCATTTAAAATGATCATTATAGCCCACATTACCTTTTGTATGACAATGTGAAAGTCTGTATGCTAGATAACAACAAAGAAATGACTTAAGCAGTTTTATTATGACAAATCAGTACTCATCTTACCGTGGTGATATAGCGGGAATGAAATTCTGGAGCATCTTTCAGGAAGGTGAGACCAGGGTGGGTATCTACCACATCCTTAAAAATATTATAATCAAAACTAAGTTAGTAAACATTTAAAATTATCCAGAAGCATTTTCTTGTAGAAAAAGCTGACAATTGAGCAAATCTATTCTGGAAAACTGCATAGTACAGTGAAAATATAACTAGTACTTTATTGTAAGCATGTTTACAATACATAACTTTCTGCATACACAATATGCTTAAATATAACATTTTAAATTTGGTGACTTCTGAATCAAATGTCTTAGAGGTATATACTGCAATTCTAACACATTAAAGGTTATTTGGAAAAGTCATCCCACAGATATTGGTAGGTAAGAATGAGACCAGCCAATGAAAATGATTTTCTTAATCTTGAGGCATGAAATTTTTGGGAAAAAAAGCCATAGAGCCAAGTTAAGGCCCATCAGTTTTGTTTTTGTTTCTTTTTTTTAAAAAATATAAACAGTTGTAGCCAGTTGTGCTAGCATAAGAGACAAGACTAATCTATAGAGTGAGATAATATTTCAAAGGAAAAATTATTCAAATTTGTTTTCAATATATCTTAAAATCCATTATTTTGTTTTCATGGAAGATTATAAGATAAGACTTTGAACATGTTTTTTATTGTCTAGTTGGAATTTTAAAGAACCTTGACCTTAGAGACTGTTAGGGAGTCTCTAGGTTACTCCTAAATTAATAGCCACAGGCAACTGCAATATCTACCAAAACAGACATATCTATTAATTTCTACCAATACAGCTTAAAAATGGATTTTACTACTTATGGTTTGTAAATTTGGAAATAATTTTAGATTTTCAGATGAACTGTGAAAAATACTGCAGAGAAACTTTCTATGCCTTTCTTTCAGATTCTGGAGATAGTAACTCACAAACCACAGAACAATGATTAAAACTAGTAAATAAACATCCATACAGCACTGAACTATAGACCTTATTCAAATTTCACCATTTTCCAATCAGTTACTCTAAGTTTATTGCATGTAGTTTTTACAGCTTCTCTGGTCTCTGTTCTGTGTTGTTTCTTTTCGGTATTTCATGATTGCAATGCTTTTAATGAGTTCTGGTAAATCACACCTCTGGTAAATTAAGTTTTGTCTTAAATTTTCTTTAAGCAGATTAAATTCACATGTTTTCATCAGGAATACTATGGAAGTGATGCTGTGACCCTTTTTAGTGGACCAAACAAGCAATATATGATTAGTTTTATGGCTAAAATTGGCCTAGCTTTGCCATATGGAACTCCTTCATTTAGGACCCTGTGTCCTTCTGACTGTCATGCCCTTTTGCAGTGTGAGTTCATCTTGTATTTTACTTTTCCCATATCTGTGTCAGCCTTATCTCTAAGATATGCAGTCCACTTTACTGTAGTCCTAGATTTTAGGAACTATGTGCACCCATTATTACTGAGTGTCATTGTTCTCAGGCCCTACTAGCAGGCATAGGGCATGTATGTGCCTTTGTGAAATATGTGTGTGTGTGTGTGTGTGTGTGTGTGTGTGTGTGTGTATATAGATATGTGTGTGTGTATTAATAACTCTGATTCCAATCCAATATCACAAGGTTTACTCAAGCCTTCCCTCTTTCCTTCGTAACTATAAAAGTGAGAAACCTGGCTCTCATCTAAAATGTAACCACTTATTTTTCAATTTTATGATATCAAGAGAACACCAGTGAGAAACAATACACTTAATATAATATTTGTATATAGTTCCTTTGGTATTTTTTAAAATCTTTTTTGTTGGAGAATTTTATACATATATACAATGTGTTTTGATTAAATGTATCATCCCATCCCCTTCCTTCCAATTCCTCCCTTATTACCTGTTGGAGGGTGTGGGAGTTGTAGCATGTGACAACTAGTGTTCAGATGTCAACCCACCAGAGGAGTAATTCTCTGGTGGGGAGAATCCCATCCAGGCAAGGCCTATGGGACCACTGACTCTGGAAACTGTTGCTCCTGTCAGTATTTTCACACGTGTAATTTCACTTCCACTTAATGTATAATCTCATATGATGTGTATATGTAATCTCATAATTGCATCTCAGTCTTATGGGCATATATATCTGTGAATGGTCAGGAAGATGACTTATCATTATCTGTATAATTTCGATACATAGAAAATATACTAGGAAATGCTTCATAACTAGATCTACTGTCCCACGAGGACTGTAAGACATTTAAAAGCCTGCTTTGTTCCTTTTACTCAAACTACACACAATTAGCACATTTTTATCTCAGAGCAAGTTCAAAATAGACTGAATGTTTCTGTAAATGGGTAATAAGTAAAGAACTGATATGCACAAGGTCAGAGTTGCAGATGCCTAGCCAAGGTTATTAACACAAAGCAACCTAAAAATTCACACCAATTCTTCACTTGCCAAGTCTGGCTGATAAAGACCCATGTCCCAAAGCTTGTCTCACTGGACACTGTGGCCCCAGCCTCTGGTCAGTCTTATACCAGAAACCTTGTGTTGCCATGCTAAACAGATCTAGCCTTATCATTTACCCAAGGAATGTGCTATGACCAATGAGATGCAATTCTTGTAACTTTTTTTCTTATTGCCTCAAGCCTCCTATACAAAAATTTATTTAAGTTAGGTGAACAAAGAAGCAGGAGAGATTGAAGCAAAGGAGAACTAGAAAGAATGAGAACTTAAAAGAAAATTAGAGGACAGAAGAATAGGCAGAAAAATAAACTCGACTTGAACAGCATGTGTGTGAATTTATTCTGTACCCCTCAGATAGAAAAAACTTTTAAGTTCAGTTTTGCTACACTATGGAGCTTCTCTTTGAACCAATGGGAACTTGAGAACTGGTCTCTCAGGCTAATGGTAATTACCCAAAATTTTCATCTCTCAACTTCATGACTTCATTTTTAAAACTCACCAGGTCCACTTAGTGCTGTATATACGTGCATGAGTGTAAGAGCATTTATTGGAGCATGGGTAGTTTCTCAAGAGACACATCCCTGAAAAAAAAAAAACTGACTTTTCCTACTTTAGCAGCCTAATTACTCCTCAGTAAGACCTTTATGAGCCCCCCTCGACCCATGCTGAAATTTTTGTCCCCTTGACTTTGTGTATGTCTTGTGCAACCAGCCAGTCACAGATGCTATAAAAGCACATGTGCAATGTCCCTATCATATCTGACAAACACTGTTTTGTGCAGATGTCTATTCCCTTTGGCTCTTACACTCTTTTTGCCCCTCTTCCGCAATGAGCTGTGTTCCACTTAGAGCCGAGCATTCCATAGTCTTTTATCCTCTGCACACTGACTAGTTGTGGATCTCTGTATTAATTGCCATTTATTGCAGAAAGAAGCAGACTCTAGGTTCTCAACAAGAACAGCAAATGCTTTTAGTCATGGATCCATCTCTCTAACCCTGAATCTTCTGGTATAAATGTCACTGGGTCAAGGCATAGTCTATTTGGTAGCACTTTACCACTAATCATGAAATTGCATTTATTTGCAGTTTTCTTTGTACTGTGTTTACCTGATTTAGATATCAGTAATGTTTACTTCAGAAATGACCTATAGGTAGACCTATCAATAATGTAATGATTTAGAAAACATTAGACTGTCTAGTCTTTGAAGATTTGATCAGTTTCTCCTGTGAAACACCTGCCACTGGTTCATTTTGGCATCATACCAACGTGAAGACAAAATGAGGAGACTGGCGAGAGGTGGGATCATGGCCCTGTAGGGAGAGGGGAAGAATACATTGCAGGTATCTTTCCTTGTTGGACTGTAGCATTGGCTCTGAGTTAGGCCTTCCATTTCTAACAGTCACACTTTATATTCTATCCGTGATCTATCTACCACTCAGTGTGTTTTTCTCAAAGGTGAGATCATGGGTGAGGTATGTATTCCAGTAATTAGAACAGAACTTGGGCATGTTCCTCTGCAGGCCATCGGCTACTTTGTTCCAAGCCACTCCCACAATGACCTACATGACTGTAAAATGTCTTTTGTGACTTTAAGTTTTCTTCTGTTTCAATATAGGCATTCCATTTAAGAATATTAGCCTTTATTAATTTTCTCTTTTCAAAAAATGTATTTGGGGATGAGGAGATGGTCCAATGGTTAAGAGCACTGACTCCTCTTCTAGATGACCTGGATTCAATTCCCAGCACCCACATGGTGGCTCACAACCATCTGTAACTACAGTCCTAAGGGACCCAACACCCCCTTCTGGCCTCCATGGGTATAGGCACACATGATGCACAGATATACATATAAGTAAACATACACATAAAATAAGTACACAAAACATTTAAAATGTACTTACTTTTAAAATTATTTTTTAAAGTTAGTACATGTCGGGAGGCCCTGCTTGTCAGAGACTGCAGTCTTTAATAGCCTGGCAGCTTTCTCTAACCTTGGCAACACGGAGGACTCCCCACTAGCGAAGGCTTCCTGCTCTCTACCTAGCCTTATCTGAAGGATGTTTCTAGGCTCAGAGGCCTGACTTATCTCAGGGTTGTTCCTTGACACCGTTCCCTGCAAACGCTCTTCCCCTGCTGACCATATGGTAATGCTCTAGCCATTTTGATAGGGCTGTGCTTCCACTAATCCAGCTACATGATAGGAGTTTGCCACTTAACGCAAATTAAGGTTTGTCTCCTGGTTTCTTATTCCTATAGATCTCCTATAACTCTGGAATAAAGTTAAGCTGGTTCATTGAAGTCATAGCCCAGAGGGCTCTCCATTGTATCCACAACCATCTGAACCCTGTTTCTGCTTCTGCTCCTTTCACTCTCATGGACCAGTGGTTGACAACCCCAAGGGAGAAGCAGAACAGTATACAAAGTGATGGGTTAAAGCATTTCATACATATAAGTCATTTAGACTTTTGTTCTTACTCATTACCTTCTCACAATGCCTTTCTCTAGACTCCCTGTCCCTCTGTTGCTGGTCCCCTTCTCGCAAAAAAAAAAAAAAAAAAAAAAAAAAAAAAAAAAAAATCTTTCCCTTCTATCATATTTTTTTATTACCATCTCTTTCCCTGAATCCCATAGCACTCTTTATCCATCTCACAGTCTCCTTTCTACCTTCATGGCATCCCTTCAGTACACGTACGTACGCACACACACACACACACACACACACACACACACACACACACACACACTTAAGCCTAGACCCCTCATGAGAAAAAACATATAGGAACGATCTGCAGGAGTCTGGGAGGCTTATCATTAGTTACACTATCAAGGAAATGACTGTCCCTTCTTCCGAATCCATCAGTAGTCAATAATCCAGCAGCTAAGGTGTACTGGTTGGTTTTTGTCAATACAAATCTAGACATATGTGGAAGGAGGGAATCTCAACTGAGGAACTGCCTACATCAGATTGGCCTGTAGTATGACTGCGGAACATTTTCTCGATTAATGATTGATGTTGGAGAGTCCAACTCACTGTGGGTGGTAGCACCTCTGGTCAGGTGAACTTGAGTGGTATAAGAAAGCAAGCCACTAAGCAGCTTTCCTGCATAGTTCCTGCCTTGATTTCCCACAATAACAGACTGTGATGGGGACATGTGAGTCGTTAGTGCAATGAAGAAGCAAATTAGGATAGAAGGTTATGGTCCCATGAGCCCCCTCCTTGAACCTTGGCTGGTGACAGGCCCAGTCTTGTGTATGCCCAGTGCAAACAACTACAGCTACTGTGAGATAGTATTTGCAATGGTTGTGTCATGAAATGATAACATTTCACAGTCTTTCCTCCAATCTTCCAGCTCTTACCTTCTTTCTGCTCCCTTTTCCATGATGTCTTCTGAGCCTCAGATGGTGTGGTATAAATGTCTTATTTAGAGCTAAGCACTCAACAATCACTTATTCTCAGTATCCTGACAGTCATAATACTCATTTTTTTCATGTGTAGTGAAAACATTTAAAACCTATTTTTTTTTTGACAAGGTTTCTCTGTGTAGCTTTGTAGACCAGGCTGGCCTCAAACTCACATAGATCTGCCTGCCTCAGCCTCCTGAGTCCTGGGATTAAAGGCATGCACCTCCACTGCCCAGCTTAAATTCTTAGGAAATTCTTAGGAATTTTCAAGAATATACATTACAGTCAGGCATGGTGGCACATGCCTTTAACCCAAATACTTGAGAGGAAAAAGCAGGAGGATTTCTGAGGTCAAGGCCAGCCTGGTCTACAGAATGAGTTTCAGAATAGTAAGGAATATATATTCAAATCTTGTCCCAAAACAAAACAAACAAAAATAACACATTGGTGATTCTATTTAGTGTATTGTACAATAATATCTATCTATCTATGTGTCTATGTGTCTATGTATCTATGTATGTATGTATGTATGTATGTATGTATGTATGTATGTATCTATCTATCTATCTATCTATCTATCTAAAAATTTGCATCCTTGCAGAACATCTTCCCCGCACTAAGAGTGACAAAGACTAGAGGGTCACTGGTACTTGCTGGCTACTAGCTGAGCTCCAGGTTCAGTGAGAGAGCCTGTGTCAAAGGAATAAGGTGGCGAGTGATAGAGCAGGATGTCACCCTCTGGCTTCCATGAGTATAGAGTGTACATTCAACACACAAACTTCCTCTCTCTTAGATTCTGGGAGTAATTTACTGTACAGAAGAAGCAAAGAAGCTCTGGACTTGAAGGATCTTCTGGTCATAGATCACTGCTACTTCAGTAATAACCCCCAACTTTGGACCTAGAGTATAGCTGCATGTTGAAGGAACCTCAGTTAACATTTTCTTCCAGACTGGTATATAAGGACTAATTTCAAAAACTCAAATAAGTGAAAGAAAATAAAAAGTACTTATTTTATGTGTATGAGTGTTTTGCCTGCATGTATATCTTGTGCACTGAGAATTAATTCTGGGTCCTCTGCAAGAACAACATTGCTCTTAACCACTGGGGCAAAGCTTAATCCTAAAACATACTTACAGTTCTGAGATTTATTCTTAAAGACCAGAGATATATCCTTTCTACATGTAGAAAATTTATTTGTAAACAACAGACTTTAACATCCCAGAGCCAGAAAAGAAAAAATGAGAAGAGGACCACTGCTTCATTTATTTGGCTCCATTAGTGAAAATTGTTCTATATGCATGAGTACCCAGGATGAGTATGCATCCTACACAAATAATATAAGTGACTGGTCTCCCTGAAATCTGGTGATAGTAATAGGGCCCATTGCCCTTAACTTAAATTATTCCTAGGCTGGAGTGCTCTGGCAGGCAGGCTTTGTGTCTTTTTTCCCCTCCCCTACAAGTACTTGGTATGTTATAAAGCACAGGTTACATCTTCTCACTCAGTTTCCTAATGGTAGGATTATAGACAGGTATTAGCATTCACCACCATGCACAGCTTCTTCCTATTCTAATCGTATCTACAAATATATCTTGTGGAAAAACCAGAGAGCCATTTTGGATAGGTGCTTAAATCAGAGTCAAGATGCCCTGGGTGAAGACTCCAGAGATCATGACAGTTGTTTTGACTATTCCACAGCCTTTTCTTGATTGTCACCAGATTCTTTATTTTTAAAATTTTCAAACAACATTTTTTGATCATAATCTTTTCCTCCTCTAGCTCCTCCTGGATGCCCAACTTCATGTTATTCTCACTCTTAAAAAAAACAGAGGCAGGTGGATCTCTGTGAGTTTGAGGTCAGCCTGGCTGGCCTATAGAGTAAGTTCCAGGACAGCCTCCAAAGCCACAGAGAAACCCTGTTTTGAAAAAAACAAAAACAAACAAAAAACCAAAGCCAACACACACACACCCCTCTACAACCATGGAGTTCATTTTATGTTGGCCAACTATTTATTTCTGAGCATGAGGCGTGCCAGAGGGTATGGCTGATAAACTCAGTGTCACATTATTAAGAAAATGGATTTTCTCCCTTCCAGTAGCTATCAGGTTCTGTTAGGTCCTTAACTATGGCTGATATTAGTATTTTCCAAGCTATCTTTTTTTTTTTTTTTTTTTTTTTTTTTTTTTTTTAAAAAGATTTACTTATTTACTATGTATATAGTATTCTGCCTGTATGCCAGAAGAGGGCACCAGATCTCATTATAGATGGCTGTGAGCCACCATGTGCTTGCTGGGAATTGAACTCAGGACCTCTGGAAGAACAGCCAGTACACTTACCCTCTAAGCCATCTCTCCAGGCCCTTCCAAACTATGTTTTCAAATTTCATAAGATGTTTCAGTGATTACTGTGAATGACTGCGGAGGAAGCTGAACGCAGTAGAAACAGCCCTATTTTGTCTATCTTATGCTATGGGTTCTGGTTTAGATTTCATTTAACAAAAGATTTTTACCCCTAAAACAAATTTGAAAACTATTCTTAGCAATCTGATCTCTAGATATATGTAGTTCTACTGACATAGTATTATAGTTGCACTTTAAAATGAAAAAAAAAAAAAAAAAAAAAAGAAATTGTCTTACCAGTCATGGTGCCTTAATCCCAATTTTTGGGATTAAGGGTTTGATGTTAGCCCCAGTTATACTGTAAGGCCCTGTTATTAACAAACAAACAACCCCAGAACCAACTAGCCATTCAAAGACAAAACCCCCACCTTCCAAACTCCAAAAATAAGTTTCATTTCTAAAAGGTACTAAAAATCACCTGAAGTAAAGGAATAAAATCATCCTGTTCCAGATAGCTGCAGCTAGGCTTTGCCAGGAGCCAGATGAACTTAGAGGCGTCATCATGATGGTTATTTAGCAACCTACAAAAGAAACACCGGTTAGGAAGATCTGCTACTCAGAACATACAATACCTACACATTGACAGGCTGGTAATTTTAGTTTGAGTGTTATTTAGATTAAGAGTCAAATGTTTGGCCGGGTGAGGTGGCACACACCTATACTTCCAGCATTCAGGAGTTCAATGCCAGCCTGGTCTACAGTGGGAGTTCCAGAACAGCAAGTTACTGGATGGTAAACTTTCTAGAATGTTGAGACCACGGGGTAGAATTAACTGATATAAATAAAATATGCTACGAAAATATACTTAGTGGGGAAGATCCACTCAGGTTAGCACAGGACATCCAGAGTTTCTGAGCTAGCAAGAAGGAAATACCTCAGGCAGACTACTATGCACTATAGAAGACAGAAACTCCTGTTAGTTTGACATATGCATGGCCAGCTTGACAGGTGCTTTTAAACTTTGACTTTTACAGAACAGGTTTCAGAAAAATCAGTGCTGTTAAGTCTTCTAACTTTCTAGAATTCTTCACCTCCAACTATTTTCTGGATATTTCTGTATACTTTGACAGAAAAGTCGAAACAATGAAAAAGCAAAATATAAAAGCTTTTCAAACTAGTCCTTTTTCCTGGAAGTGTATGTGTGTGTGTGTGTGTTAAAATGGTGGCACCAGTCTTAGTTATATGGGTGTGAAACCTTGAAGTCATTTAATTTTTTTTTCTATTTCTAATTCTCTATATCCAATAAATAACTCCAAACTTTCTCATGTTCCTTCATTAGCCATTTATTGAATGTTAAGTATATGTCAGGTATTACATCTGTCCTTGAATGAGCTTGGGTAAAAGAAAATAGAACAGAGTTTTTATTCCTTATGAAGTGTACAGTCCAGTGTTTGGTTACCAATGGGATCATACTACTGTGGAACAGCCATGATATTAAGTAGTGAAGACAAGGTATCATGGAAGGATAGAGGAGGCCTGTGGGATTTCCTGCAGAGTGAATTAGGAAAGAAGGGTGTTACGATAAGGGTTGGGCAACACACACAAATGCCTGGTGTGAGATTCATATAGTATTTGGGCAACAGAAAGTTCAGAGCTTGTAAGAGGGACACGTGCAAATAAAATCTAAGAAGGCCTCTTTTGTATCAGGTCAAGAATGTGCTCCATAGAAGAATTTTAACTCGGACAGTGACATGGACAGATGTGGTTTTCAAAACCAGTAAGTGTGAAGCTATAGGAGCCTGAGCATGGACAACGAGAAAGGGGACATCTGGTAGAAATGAGAGGATATGGTGCTTTATAGGTATATGAGTGAAGTTCATCATAACTGCCAAGGTTCTAGCTGAGACTATTAGGGAATACAGATTCACAGGAAGACCAGAGGCCTGAAGAAATTTTCCTGCAAATGCTCTGGACAACTGCTTCTTCCTGTTTCTACTGTGCTCTACAAGTTTTGGGCATTATAGACTCAGGGTGATTGCTAGGGAGGGTCCTAACAGGCTTCAGTGCTCATCTAGCCTTTCAGTGTGACAATTTTAAAACAATCCTTGCTTATACAAGCCACGTACTAAAAATGTACAGTACTCTACCACTTATCTACCATTTAAATGTGTAAGTTTAAATGTCTACATTGGGCATTTAAGGCCCTCTGTCACTATGCTAGAAGATGCCTATGTACTTATTCTACTACTGTGTTAAATCAAGCTTCCCCTCCAGGCAGCTCGCCCGAGCCTTATGCAATCTGGCCTTTATGTCACTCTCATGCTGTTCTGCTCTTCTTGAAGACCTAGCTAAATACTACTACTTTCAAAAGCCTCTCTTCAACTGAACTCCTTTCTGCTCTCTCTCCTTGCTATACTTAAATTGCCACTGTACTGTCAGCTTTAAGTTTTTTCTTTGACAACTAAAGATAATGACAGCTTTTTACATACACAAAGGACATGGTTCAGTGACTTATACACAGAAAACTCTCAAAATGTTAAGTGATCTAAAATTAGTGATACTAATTTTGTTTGTTTTGAGCTATAGTCAGACATTTATATTTACTGACTATATGTAAGGCCCAGAAGTTAATAAGCACACATTACAAAGGAAGATTAGTGCACGGGTGCTAATGAAAGCCACCTCATAGGATGAAGAATTGATGGAATAATAGTAAGGGAAAGTGGTGAAGTTTTTTTTTTTTTTCTTCCCCAAGACAGGGTTTCTCTGTGTAACTTTGGAGCCTGTTCTGGAATTAGCTCCTGTAGACCAGGCTTGTCTCGAACTCACAGAGATCCACCTGCCTCTGCCTCCCAAGTGCTGGGGGATTAAAGGTGTGTGACACCACCACCCAGCTAGTAGTGAGATTTTTAAAAAGGAGTACTTTTATATATCTTGAGAAAAGGACTACATGAAAACAAACACAGAAGCAATGCAACAGATGAAAAATAGTCTAAAAAGACAAAAGTCATGTCATGATTCTTATATTTATTTTTTTTTTAAATCAAAGCATGAGATAGAAAAGGTGATCTACAGCTTTTTGTTAATGTTCTGGGCTGATAAGCTCCATAAGGTAAGAGATTTTAAAAATGAGACTTTTAAAAAGCTGTAAGAGCTGAAGAATAGTATAGCTCTTCTATACTAACCACAGTGCTTTAAGGACAAGCATTTTGTTAGTAACAAATAACACTAATATGAACTATAAGAGTAAGTAGAATAAAGCTAGAACTGTATTGGCTTGGTTCTGGAGGAGTTATGTCCCAAAGCTGGTGTTCTAGGAATGTAAAAAAGGATGTGGAGCTATGTCTTCCCCTAAAAATTGTCCTGACTTTAAGGGCAAGAGATTTCTGAGTGTAGATATAAAATGGGTAGCAACATGGGGATAGGAGGGGAAGAGGGGAGAATTTTAAGGTGTTCATTCTAAAACCAACAGACAGGCATTCTGACAAGAGGGAAATGATTTCCTTATGCTTACCATTTTATATTTAATTTTAATTTCTAAAAAGTCTATACAGAGCTTATTACTGGAGCAAGTCAGGAAGCATATGTATATGACAAAATGTCTTAATTCTATATTACCACCTGTCAGTTATTCCTTGTGCTTGAATACTTGGCCTTAAAAAAAAAAAAGTACCTTATAGTGAACTCACAGCAATCTTCCTCCAAAAATGCTGGGATTACAGGAAGGAGCTGTTATGACTTAAACCTTTTAATATACTGTGTTTGGAACTGAAATTGCTTTATATGAAAGGTGAAGTTTGCAAAAAAAAAATTAAAAACTAAAGCCCCTTTCCTAGAGATGGAAACTCAAACCATCATTCACTTAGGCTCCTTTAACTGTAATATAACACCTTCCTTACAGAATCTGGCTTTTCAATGGCATTTTAGGAGGGACTTCCACTAGAGGGCACCCAAACCATTTTAGTAACTGACAATGTACACTCATTCCCTAGGATTCTTTACACAGCAGAGATGGAACTCTGTGACTTGCTTCTTGTTCATTGACTTTTTGCAGAAGTTGTTTTTCCCCAGAGATGGTGATTCATTTCAATAAAAGGACATGGCTGTGATGGCCATCACTGCTGTGATGTTCTACCTAATGGAAAAATGTCAACCCTCTCTGAGATAGTCTTCCTAAAAACTCACAGTAAGCATGTAAATCAAACTGGATACAAGCTATCCTTTGCTATAGTCAGCCCCAGGTTCTCATAGGGCCCTAGAATATTAAATATATAATATCAGCAAATACATTTCCTGTGTTTAGGTCTAATGTCTCTTCTACTCTTCTACTAGACCATCTACTATTTATTTTTATCTTCTAGCTTGTTCATAGTTTTCTCCTAATCATCACTCATCTTGTTTTCCTAGACTGCTAGGTGATTTTTTTTTTTTTTGCCAAATACTGAGCTCAGTGACTAAAGATGCCTCTGACAAGGGCTGTGTTACTTATTTATTCCTTTAACTCCTAGTTTATGTTCCAGATGAGGACTTTTAAGGGCCAGGTATCTACCAGGATAAAGGAAGATAGTTGAAGAGAAGCCAGACCATCTATAAATTTTAAGTTCTTAAATCCTACTACTGTTTTTATATACCAATTAAGAATGAACATGGTTCTTCTTGGTTCAAATTCTGGTTTTGCTACTGGGAAAGGGAAAGACCAATGAATTCCATACTATGTTTTTTTATTTGTTCTAGTGACAGGGTCTCACTATATATCCCTGGATGACCTGGAACTTGCTACACAGACTGTTGGAAGGTTCCTATTATTCAGGCCTTAGGATCTTTTCTTGTTCTATGTTCTAGAATGCAAGAATACCAAGGAGAGACACACAGAAGTTGGGAGGAGGGGTAGGAACGATATACAGTATTCATGTATGAAATTCTCAAAAATATTTAATAATAAAATACCCAAGGACAAATGCTTTATCCTTTGTTAGTTTATGCTTGTACACTAGTATTTTCCCCCTTTTCTTTTTTGTGCTATTTCTAGCTTCTCTTTTACCTCTACTTATATGCACATTTAAAAAGGGATATTCTTTACACTTCATCTGGCTCTTTTTCTATGCTATAGGAAGAGTGGACCTGTGACTTTGTAGTGCCATCCAGATGGGTAGATTCTCCTAGGGCTCTTGTATTCCTTGGTATCTGGACAACTCAGAATCAGTCCAGGAACACAATGGCTAAACCCCACTGGGACAATATGAAGCAACTGTAACCACTTGGGTGTATTTCTTTAAAGTTTACTAACTGGTAGTGTCTTATATACCCTTACCACTTCAGTCCTAATATAATGAAAAAAAAGAATGTGATTTACTATAGATTTTTAAGACTAGGAATGCATTTACTAATCACCCATTTTGTTTTCAAACATTACACAACTAACAGCCTTTGGGTAGTGACTTAGTTAGGGTTTCTATTTCTGTGAAGACATACCAAGATCAAGGCAACTCTTATAAAGGAAAGCATTTAATTGGGTGGCTTATAATTTCAGAGGTTTAGTCCATTATCATCATGGTGGAACATAGTGGCATGCAGGCACACATGGTGCTGGAGAAGGAGCAGAGAGTGTTGAAGGAGCTACATTTTGATCCTGTGGGCAACAGGAGGTTGTCTGAGACTCTGGGAGTAGCTTTAGCATATATGAGACCTCAAAGCTCACCTCCACAATGACACACTTCCCTCCAACACATCCACACCTATTCCAATAAGACCACACCTCTTAATAGTGCTACTCCCTTTGGGGACCATTTTCTTTTAAATCATCACAGTAGTATGAAGGGATCAGAAGGAACCTCTAAGTTTAATTCTGCTGATGCTATATGTATTTTAAATAGTAAGTGGATAGCATTTCAATTTCACTAGGAGGAGGGGTATTTAGGTCAGAAAGGGTGAGGACATGTATAAAGAAGGGGTTATCAGTTGAAAGAGAAGACTGGCTATTCTGGCTAGTCTTATGTCAACCAGACATACAAACTAGAGTCATCTGAAAGGAGGAAAACTCAATGGAGAAGATGCTTTCATAAGATCCAGCTGGGAGGCATTTTCTCAGTGGGGGAAGGTCCAGTCCATGGTGAGTGGTGCCACCCCTAGTGGTGGTCCTGGGTTCTGTAAGAAAGCAAGCTGAGCAAATCAGGGAAAGCACACCAGTAAGCAGCTCTCCTCCATGGTCTCTGTATCAGCTTCTGCATCCAGGTTCCTGCCATATTTGAGTTCCTGTCCTGACTTCCTTCAATGATGAACAGAAATACAGAAGTATAAGCTAAATAAACCCTTTCCTCCCCTACCTGCTTTGGTCATGGTGTTTCATCACAGCAATGGAAACCCTAACTAAGACTGTCCCTGATCTTTTCGTAAATCAGCAGTTCTCAACCTGTGACTTAACAGTTGCAAATTTAACAATAGCAAAATTACAGCTGTGGAGTCATAATGAAATAATTTTATAGTTGGGGGATCACCACAACATGAGGAATTATATTAAAGGGTAACAAATTAGGAATGTTGGAGAAGCATTAGGAGAACCACTGTCCTAAATGTTAATGATTTAAGGTGTACCATCTGGGGCTAGAGCGGAGTTGCTGGTACAGTGTTTACCTAGCATGCACAAAGCCTTGGGTTCAGCCTCCAGCACTGCATACACCCAGTGCACAATCCCAGAATTTGGGAAATGGAAGCAGGAAGGTCAGAAAGGCTAAGCTACCATTGATTACCTAGTGAACCCAACCTGGGCTACAAAACAAAACAATATCTAATAGCATCCAAAGAAGGGATCTAAAGAAAAAGTTGGGCTTGAATTTGAGATACTTTATCAGAATGTTAAAAGTCAAGAATATCTTATAAATAATCTAGTCTTTTTTTTTTTTTTTTGTGCCTCAACTGGAACTCTCAAAAGAGTGATGATTAAAATCTGTAAGAATTTAGTGATTTTGATAAATCAACCAAATATAATTTTCCTTTAGATTACTTAAGACTGTAACTGTATTTTTTTCTTTAATTTTATTCTGGTGTGTGTGTGTGTGTGTGCGTGCGTGTGTGTGTGTGTGTGTGTGTGTGTGTGTGTGTGTGTGAATGGTGTATTCACAGGGGTGAACAGGTATATGTGCCATGTGTGAGATTAGTTTTCTACCTCTTTACCTTTTCATTTTATTTCTTTAAAACAGGACCTGTCACTGATCCTGAAGGTTTAAGTTTCCACAAGGCTAGATGGTCAATGAGCTCCTGGGATCTGCCTGTTTCTGTAGCTCACAACATTTCGGTTACAGGTTCACACAGTCACGCCTGGCTTTTTATGTGGGTGCTGGGATTTGAACTTGTCCTCATATTTGCACTCTTATCCACAGAACCAGCCTGAAGATGTATTTTTCTTGTGACACACATAGTTTTGCCCTTAAAGGACACTCTTTATTTACTTTATCATTGCCATTGGATTCAAATCCTTAGTCTTTACTTTTATAGGTAAAACCAAGAAAGAGACTGTCAAGTTAGTAACTACTTAAAAAGTATTTCTGCTTTACTGTTTAAAGATGCAAAATTAATTTTTTAAAAAACAATATGTGTATGAGATTTTTGTCTGTATGTATCAGATATATGCCTGGTACTTGAGGAGGCCAGAAAAGGCTTTGGATTCCCAGGAACTGGGATACAGATTTCTGTGAGTCACCATGTGAGTGCTGGAAATCAAACCAAGGTCATCAAATGGAGCAGCCAGTGCTGAGCCATCTCTCTAGCTCCTTTACCCCCCCCCCCACCTGCAACATTTTGAGACAGGTTCTTTACTAGGTAGCTCTGGCTAGCCCAGAACTAGCTATGCAGACTAGGCTGGCTTCAAACTCACAGATCGATTTGCCTCTGCCTCCCCAGAAAGGAATGTGTCACCACGCCTGACATTGTTTAAAGGCAAAAAAGGACAAAGGTTTGTGGCAAAGAACTTGTAGGTATAAATGGTAATGAATCACAGAATTTTCCTCATTGAACTATAAGACACAAGGAAAAAAACTAATAAGATAAATAGCATTTATAAGGACCACACAATTCTTTGCTAGTCTCAGAATGACTGCTCACATACTTACTTTTTCCACATGGCAATGAATGATTGTGCTGTCACAAATCCAGTCTTCTCTCCTCCTGCAGCTCTGAACATGGGGGCTTTCCAATAGAGTGGACAACCACAGACCTGCAAACAGAAACACCCAGAGTAAGCTAAGCAAAGGAATGACATGCCAAAAGAAGAGACACTGGCTTTTACTTGTCATGCCCCAGTGGGGAAAGGGCTGTTGGGGTCAATGAGGGAGAGGGGATGTAAGGAGTAGAGTTTTTCCTCCCACTGCTGGTCTGGTCCCACCACCGTGCCAGCCCCAAATAGTACACAGAGACTCTGTTTTTGATACAATGCTGTTGGCCCGGTTACTTGTTTTTTATCTGCTAGCTCTGTCTTAATTATTAGCCCATTTCTATGTATTTCCATGTGGTCTTACCAGGGAGAGGCGGCTGGCAGTTCTACCTTCTCCAGACTCTCCATCTTGGCTCTCCTTACTACTTCCTATTTCCTCCTTGTCTCCTGGTCCCTCCTATCTTCCTTTCCTATTGGCCAACAGTGCTTTATTCATTAACCAGTATGAGAAACATATATAGAATGACATCTCCCATCATCTCCTCTTTTCTGTCTAAATAAAAAGAAGGGTTTTAACCTTATCATAGCAAAATATATAACACAACAGTTATCCAATAAGAATCACAGTTAACAATATTTAGTCCATTAACATTTAGTAAGATTAAAGAAAATATTCCATCATCTATTCTATCTTTGTGAGTCTAAAGCCCTATATGTAACTTATCTTTAATCCTAACTAAGGAAAACTATAACCATAACTATCTGTCTTTAACTCCTTCAAAGATCACAGAAGGATAGTATATAAACTCTAGAAATGACAGAGACATCTTGCATTGTCAGTCATTTGAAGTTCTTTTGTAATCTTCCATCTTTAGCCCATAGGCCATAGTGTGTCTGGCAGACTCTTCAGCAAAGTAGGAAACTTTAAACTGTCTTCTTGTATTGGAAGTTTGTCAGTCACTTTTTTCTGTGTCCTGCAGACTGTCTAGCAGACTCTTTCATGAAGCAGGAGCTCTGTAGTACGGTTTTTCCGTCCGCCACCTGGTCTTGTCCCGTCGCCACGCCAGCCCCAATTAACACACTGAGACTCTGTATTTGATATAATTCTGTTGGCCCATTACTAGTTTCTTATCGGCTAGCTCTGTTTTAATTATTAACCCATTTCTATGTATTTCCACGTGGTCTTACCAAGAGCAGAGGAATGGCGGTTCTGCTTTCTCCAGACTCTCCATCTTGACCCCTCCTTCCTCCTTTCTATTTCCTCCTTGTCTCCTAGTCCCTCCTATCTTCCTTTCCTATTGGCCAACAGTGCTTTATTCATTAACCAGTATGAGAAACATATACAGAATGACATCTCCCATCAAGGGGAGGGAGAAGGAGGGACAGCAGAAGAACAAATAGAGGGTTACATGTTTAGTGAAGAAAATGGAAAGCCATTTATCTTTTTTCTAAATTAATTCCCCCTCCCTTCCAGACAGCTGAAGAAAACCAGGGTCTCTCCCGGCCACTCTTAAATGGTATATTTTTCTACCATTTAAAAAGAAGTGACTGACTTAGCTCCCCTGAATATGGGTCTCAGCCAGAAGGACTGAGCAGTCTAAGGGACCTCAGACAGTGGAACCAGGATGTATCCCTGGTGCACAAAAGGACCTTGTAAACACATCCCCAATGGAGGGATACTGCCTTAACCTAGAGACAGGAGAGAAGTCCTAGTCCCTGCTTCAAATGACCTGTCAGATCTTTATGACCCCAACTGGATGGCATTGCCCTACATGTGGAATTGGGGTGGGGGGAATGGGAGGAGAGGGTGGTCAGGGTGCATGTGAGGGGGCAGAGAGGGTAAAAGGGAGGGAGAAAAGGAGGGAAGGAGGGAGGGAGAGGGAACTGGGATCAACATGTAAAATAATAAATTAAATAAAAAAAATAAAAAAGAAGTGACTAAACTTCTGGTTGTGAATGTCCTTCATTTCTTGAACAGAAAACGTAGTCACTTTTATTACCAGGCCACTTGCTGTTAAAACACTCTACTACCAACTTCCTTATTATGAAACACCTTCCTTGTTATGAAACACCATGTTTACAAAACAACAACAAACAAAAAGCTAAACTAGAAAAGGGACTGTAGAGATGGTTCAGTGGCTAAGAAAGCACAATGCTCTAGCAGAGGGCCAGAGAGTGACTCCTAGCATCCACATGGGTGATTCATAATTGTCTAACTCCAGCTTCAAGGTTATCTGATACCTCTGACTTCCGAGGGCACCTGCACCTAAATGTCTCTCTCTCTCTCTCTCTCTCTCTCTCTCTCTCTCTCTCTCTCTCTCTCTCTCTCACACACACACACACACACACACACACACACGGTTTGATAATCCCTCTTCTGAAAATTCTAGACTGTGCAAGAAAACTGCTTGCTATCAAATCTATTTAAATGATTATAATTCACTTAAGGTGAAAAATAAAATGTTATCATTCATTTATGTTAGAAGGTAACTGTAATGCCAGTAACTATGCATTATAAAAATTTTAGTAAGAACTTAGAATAAAACTTCAAGACCCAGGGCTGGAGAAGAGCACTGGCTACTCTTGCAGAGGTTATGAGTTCAATTCCCAGCAATCACATGGTGGTTCACAATCATCTATAATAAGATCTGGTGTGCAGGTGTACATGCAGGAGAAGCATTGTATACATAATAAATACATCTTAAAAAAAACCTCAAGACCTTAAAAAGCACCAGCTTTCTTCTCCTAATGTTCTGCTTTTTAATTTAAAAATATCCTTAAATACTATCCTTTGACTCGGGTAAGAAAGAGTTCTTATTAAATTACCATTTTTTCCTTAGAAGGAAAAAGTATTTCCAATAATCAAGAACACATAAATATTAGTTGAGAAAGATTCTAAATCTTCCTATTTTTGTACACACATGGAAAGCATGTTTCCAGTCTAGAATTCTGAGAAGGATAGGCCACATATTGTTAAAAGATAAAGACACTTTCATTGTATGTCACTGTTCTGCAAGGGAAGGTTTTCCTTTGGAGGTAGACTAGATGTCTATTTACCTTGGGGTTAGGAGAAGTTGCTTCTAGTTTAAAACTGTACAAGAAAGCTTCATAGGAGCCTGAAGAATATCTAGTTGAACATTGTCTATTCCAAGACTGCTGCTAGTTCATGCTAGAGGTGAAGATGTGCAAAGCAGGATTCAAGGCAAGGGAGGTAAAAACAGAACAGGCAGAAACAAAACACTGCTGCCTCCAGAAACAATGAAGTTTATTCTACAAGCAGAATAGAATTTAGGATTTCTTGAGAACTAGTGTGGTAGTTCTAGTAAATCAATGGCTACCTGAATAGTCTTTCTATATTGGGAATGTCATTCCCTTTGACTGAGAATGAAACTTCAGAAGAGACACCCATTGAGCAGTAAGGACAGTGTGACACATAGCTATCTAGCCTGATGAGCAGAATCAACCCTGCCAATAAATTCAGTGACATGTTGAAGGCTAGAGCGTTTTATGACCAGAATTTAAGACTGCTTACGTCCAGAGGCTGAAAGCTTTTCCTGAGGTCAAGAACGAGGAATAGTATTGCTTAGTAGCCATGAGATTTTTGTGTATTACAGAAATTATGATTGCTATGGTACAGGGTAGTAAACTGTCAAATCCATCTTCCCCAATCCCAGTCCTACTGTTCATATTCTAAGGAAATGCTCCTGGGTAGCCACAGTTACAAAGCACAGAGAGAACTGGAAGTTTTTCTAGTTAGGTTTACTTGTTAACCCGACACAGCCTGGAGTTATGTGAGAAGGAAGCCTCTCTTAAAGAACTGCTCAAATCATATTGGCCTGTGGTAAGTCTGTGGGGGATAACCTTGATTAGTAGTTGATGAAGGAAGGCCCAGCCTACTGAGTGAGGGTGGCACTATCCTTAGGCAAGTGATCTTGGATTGTATAAGGAAGCTGGAAGAACACTGACCAGACAGTGGGACAACAAGTAGTATTTTTCATGGTTCTTGCCTCTAGATGCTAGCTTTGAATTCCTGCTCAGAATAGTCTTAATGAATTATGACTTGGAAGTTTAAGCCTAACAAACCCTTTATTTCCCGAGTTGTTTCTGGTTAGAGCATTTTATTACAGCAACAAGAGTTAAAAAAAAAAAAAATAAATAAAAGCTAAAAGTTGCTTGCCAGAAAGTTTGAAACTCTATAACTATGTGAGTCAATCATGAATTTTTCAGAATTAGAAGAGGTCAAGAATTAAGAGAGTCTCCAACTTCAGCTGAAGCCCTCTCAGGAGATACATGCTTATCACCTTTTGTAGGGCAACTTCTATTACTAAACACCTTTCATTTCCTTGGGTTAAGACCTTTTCTCAAACACCTACTACTACTACTCTGCTAAAGCAACATACCAATAAAATGATTCCTAATGACGCACTGCTATACCCATGGGTCAGTGTATCACTAAACCCACATCAGGGACTTTGGAGCACTCAGTTCTACATGGGATGTCTTCATCAAAGCCTTCTTCTCAAAGCTCAGGGATCTATATAGAGGAGGGAGCAGAAAGATTTTTAGAGCTAAGGTAATGGATAATTTCAAGGGAACAAGGTCTTTAGACACAACAGGATTGATGTATGAACACAGAGACAGTGACAGCACACACAAGACCTGCACACATTCAAGCCAGATGGGGTCCCAGCACTGAGAGGGTGAAGCAGACACAAGATCCCACTCCTAATTAAAAAACTATTTGCAACTGATACCTACTGGCAAAGGGAAAACCAGTTTTCTCCAATGTCACTGGGTATATTAACCATAGTCCATGGCAAGCCCTATATCCAGGAGTAGTTGCCTAACACAAAATGAACTCCACTGTCTTTGTGGTGGGCTTTTTGTCTCTTGTTATCAATGTTTGTCATGTTGGTCTTTTGGTTGTTTGTTTTGTATGTGTGTGTATTTATTTGACAGAGAAAGAGAGAGAAAGAGGGGGAGAGAGAGAGAAAGAAAGAGAGAAAACACATGCATATAAAGTTGGAGGCAAGACTTGGGAGGAGTTGGAAGAGGGAAAACATTAAAATACACTGCATGAAAAAGAATTTTAAATATAAAACACAGACTAGGGGAAAAAAACCAATTTACTAGCTGAAAATAATGAGGCTGCAAGACATAAAAAATTCCTGTCTTTAAGTGAAGAGAGGAAAAAAAAATCTTTCTCCCTATGACTGCAGTTAAAGTACAGGCCTGTAAGATAAAGAGAAACAGAAAATATTTTTTTTTCTCCCTATAACTGCCGTTAAAGTGCAGTTATGTCAGTTCATAAGGGATAGTATAAGTCACCAAGACATTAATACATGGACTCATTATGATGCAAAGGCAAAACCCAAAGATAAAATTTAACAATGAAAATGCTTTGAAATGGATTAGAAAAGGTCATCCTTTTCTCATAGTAGCCGAGTACCCAAGTGTTAGGTAGAATAAGGGTATCAGGCTCCAGCAGACAATTGTCAAAGGGAAAAAAATTGGAAATGTAATAATGCCAAGGCTGTGGACCTGTACTATGGCAATTTTAAGGAAGCACATGGTTAGTGCATTTGTTGAAAGTAAATGAATTAGGGTAAAGGGAGCCAGGAGATCAGTAAGAACCTGGAAAGTGAGTGAGGTAAACCTGAGGGCACCTAACCGGGTTTTTAGTAACACAGGAGAAAACCAGTGTGAAGACTCAGTTTTTTTTTTTTTTAAAGGAAGAAAATGGGAGACAAATGACATAGAAAATACATTTAGGAAACAGCTTTAGAAGAAGCAAGAGTAATAATATAGTAATTAAAGCTATTTGAGTAAGACAACTTGACTAACATCTATAATTTGATCTAATAGACCAACAACAAAAAGAACCTGAAACAAGGCTGTTCTGATACACACAGGAGATTACCTAATATCTGTCATGTTCTTTGAGTATTTCAAAGTGGCTCCAAGGCTATTATTTCATTGGGCATTCACGTGATTTCCCATGCAGAAGAGAGTAGGTATTTTTATTTTTATCTTACTTTGTAGAAGAGAGTACAAAGGTGCTCCCCTAAAAGTCACAGACATAGTTAGTTCAGTACTATCCCCCAGAAGAAAGGAGTTGGAGGACTTTGCATGTCTAGATGAGAGTATTTTTTCAGTTTTACACTGGAGGCCCATTTGTCTCTGAAAAATGGTATTTTGTTTTTGGTTTTTTTTTTGTTTTCTTTTCCTGTTGCTCAGTTTCCATGTCTACACTACCCTGTTAGGTTTATTTTCTATTCACTTTTCCCCCTTCACTTGAAGGTATGTAAAAATATTATAAGTACACACTAAAAATTTAACCAAACAATAGTGGACATTAAGTTCTCTGTAGCTGTGTGAGGTCTATGATGAATGGGCTAAACTATACCAACAGATGCTGATTTCATAAACACATTTCCTATGCACTTAAAATCCTGACTCCTGTCTTTATAGCTACACTTATGTGCCACCAAGAGTGGGTTGCAAACACAAGCTGGTATTCCAAGCATCTTTATAAAATGCAAGAATCCATAAATATTTGTTTACTGCTCTGACAATCTCCCCCCTCCCTGTTTCTTAATGGCAGCTTCTCCTCTCCCTTTCCTACATTAACCTGCTGCAAGACAATGGACAGTAAGTAAGTGCCAGAGACACAGCTGACTGCCTCATGCAAGGCAAAAGAAGACAGTAAAGAATGTTGAAAATAAAGATAATTTAGTTAAGTGCTAAGAAACTAGAGCCAAAAAAGCTAGGTTAAACAAAATTAGGTAGCGGGAAGATACAAACAAATTTTTAAAATAAGTGGTTTTAAGACTAAAGAGGCAGGGCTGAAGAGTTGTTGGCTCTGTGGCTAAACAAACGCACTACTTTTTCAGATGATCTGTTTGGTTCCCAGCACCCACATCATGTGGCTTATAACCTGTAACTCCAGCTCTAGGAGATGTGATTTACTCCTCCTTCTGGTCTCTGTAGCATGCACACTCGTGCGTACACACACACACACACACACACACACACACACACACACACACACACACAATAAAATAGCTTGGCCTATAGCTGTCTCAACAACAACAACAACAACAAAAAGCAAAATAAATGAACAAATCTCAACTTTCATTTTTGAGACAAAGTTTGCTTTGTACTCTCATTGGATTTGAACTCAAGATTGTCTCACTCAAACTTGCTGAATGGTGGGATCTCAGGCATGTGCTATCATGTCTTGCTCAAGATAATGTTTCAAGTAAAACACACACACACACACACACACATACACACACACACACACACACACACACACACACACACACCCTCATTTTATATGCAATTGCAGTTTTAACTCTTTAGCAAAATGGGCAGTATATCTTTCCACCTAGGCTGACAGTTAACACAAAGATTTGGCTTCTAAGAATGAAATTTTGGGCTGTTATCAAATTAGTTCTTACTGGGCTACATGATTATTAGAATAAGCAGTAAATAGTTAACAAAAGGCTTAGGAAAATAGTCTTGTTTTTAAAACTCCTCCAGTGTTGACTTCAACACAGGCAACTTTCCATTATACCATTCATGGACCAATATTTACTTTGTATAACTGGTAAAGTCCTTCCTTTGTTCCTCAAAGGATACTTCCCTGCCTTCACTATACTCTGCCTTTGAATAATATGGGCTCAGTAAGGCATTCTACTTTCCTCTTATTGTATTTATGGAGAGCTATCAGGACAGTTAGCTCTGGAGCAGGACAGTGCTACAAAAGCACAAGGTGTGAAGGCCAGATCAGTAGGCTGTGACGAGTAGGGTGAGCAGGCTCCTTGGTCAAGGGTTAGGAATATTCAGAAGACCACAGTTATTCCAAGAATCTTTGTTCAAGACAGGACAAGCTGCAGGCCTGTGTCTGTGAGATACTCTTCACTGGGATAGGCTTTTGTATTACTTACTTTTCTATTGCTATGATATAAAACACCATGACCAGGGCAACTCACAGAAAAGTTTCCTTAGGCTTATGGAATAAGAGTCCTCTGGATGGTAGAGTGGAGGCAATGGTGGCTAGGGGAGGAAGCAGAGAATGTATATTTTGAACCTCAAGCTGGAAGCAGAGAGAGTAAACTAGAAATGATGCAAGGGTTTATACTCTTGAGGCTCACTTCCAATGACATACTTGCTCCATCCAACAAGACCACACCTCTAAACCTTCCAAACAGCTTCATCAATTGAAGATTAAGTATATTCAAAGGCTCAAGACTAAGGGGAACATCTCATTCAAATCACCACAGCTCTCTAGACCTGGGATCCCCAGCCCCATAACAGAGACAGTTTCTCCTTATCTGCCCATTTGAAACATTCCAAGAAAACTATCTCTTTTATAAATTGTTCCTACTTAAATAACCATCCGGCACTTAAGCAGTAAGTGTCCGATTAAAAAAAAATTGAGGTTCTGATAAATTTAATTATGAAGACCTGTGTGTGTGTGTGTTTTACAAATAAGCTCTGTTTATTTAAAACTGAACTAATCCAGATAATCCTCCTTCTCCTGCTTTGCACTCTCTTATCTTTCTACAGCCAGTGTAGATCATGGAGCTTTCCTGTAACTATAAAAATGCTCTTAGCTTTAATTTGTTAGACATTTCCTAACTGCTTATAACCCGTCTGGTGGTAGTTGCTAAACCTGTATCAGGACCTGTCATCTTTTTTTTTTTTTTTTTTTTTTTTTTTTTTTTTCTGGTCTCTAGAGTTTTGGTGTAACAAATTACTTCCAAATGCACAGTTCACTCATTCTTGCTAAATTTTATATTTAGATCTGTAGCTTTAGCCTACTCAGGGAATTGAGCATCTTCAGTCTATCATCTAACACAATAGCTATCTCTCAAGGAATTGGGTAAGGAAACCCAATAGCCTAGAAAGAGAACTTCTAATTTAGATGGCCACTTATCTGAAGTTGGATTATTTGGTGTATGTTCATCAAGATAATGTAAATAGAAACAGCACCATGCTGTTAGAGAAATTGTTTCCTCACATGAACTCATTTTATGACTTCTGCTAGGTTCTTGTGGGACTACTTTCCTCACAGGTAAAACAGTGCAGACAGGTAAGCTCTTATTTCTGGAATACAGATTTTGTTGGAAACATCTCATCAAGTAAGTTCTGACATGGGGAGAGAGTGAAGAAAGAAGAAAAATTACTTTTCATTTTTTAAAAAAGATTCTCTAGTTGTGATTTAACAACAACACAAGTACTCAATAGGGTCAGTTAGGGAAAAGGGTGAGGCATGATTAGAATGCACACTTTTGTAAACAGGAGAGGGAGGTCTTTAAAGCAGATGTTGGGTAAGTTAGTAGGAGTGGAAATCCATCACAAAGGAGAGGTAGGACAGTGTAACCTAGCTACACCTGTGAGCAGGAAGAGAACCAGGCTCATGCAGCAAACGGATATTAGACAGTTTTAGAAAGTATCTCTGGAGCCTGACGCTGGAGGTACTGAAATACAAAGAGGAGAAGGTAGGGCTTTATCTCAAAGAATAAAAATCTTCACATTTTTAAAAATTATTCCTTCCATATGGAAGAATAAATGGGGTCTCAGGCATTCCTTGATCTCCTACTTGCTTCCATGTGGCCATCAGGCCAATATAACCTTTAGTCTCTTAAAGTACACCTTGGCAAAGTGTTAAATTCTATGGTCAGTCTGGTCTACAAAATGAGTTCAAGGTCAGCCTGGGTTAAAAAAAAAAAAAAAGTTCTATGAAGTAGGACCACTGTTCCATGTAGTAGGATCAAATAATTTTTTTTTTGTCATAAGAAGACCAAAACCAAAACCTATTCTTACAGTCAGAGCAAAGAGGCAGTGAAAAGGGAAAATGTTGGTACTGTTAGCAAAAGGCGATTGATTATTCATTCAGTAGTTATGTTACCTTTGCAACTTTCCCCATTTCATAAATATCTGCTTTTTGATCTTCAATGTCCATGAAAGCGGTTTCAACTCTGCTTAGGATCTGTTCATGGTTGCTGCAGGTGTCTGGGAGCCCGTCAGGGAAGTAGAACTGAGGAATGTTTATGGACAATGCTGTAGTCACAACATCATTCACATGAGGGGTAGGAGAGACAGGCTGGGGACTACTTGGAAGGGTGGCAGCAGATGCAAGTGCTGTTGCAGGTTTCTTTTCTGGTTTATTTTGAATCTGGAAGAAAAATGTGATTATAAGATACAAAAATTATAAAGAGTACATATTTTTCAAGGGTCCTCATCAGCAATACGAAGTTGTATATAAATACAAGAATGCGCAAATAGGGACAGTAGAGATCAAGAGCTCACTTTAGAGTTTTCCAGGGCAGTAAGCATGTTTCCAGGGAATGTTTCCATATTAAAATTATTTATCTTATTTATCAATACTTGTTCACATGGATTTATGGTTTAAAAACTCTGCAGTAAATTTTTCCATCTATCAGTTGGCAAATATTTCAAAATAGTTAAAGAGCAGTATCAGCTGATCAAGACCTTAAAGTATATTCTTTTTGTTGTTAGAACAACCAGTAAAATAAAATTCCCATTTATTGTTGAACATGTTTCAAACATACATTAAACAGGACAATAAACAAACAGCAACTTCATAGAAAAAAATAAGAAAAAAAATAAGAAAAAAATAAGAAAAAAAACCTTTTTATCTTTGGTCTTTTAAAGCCATTTCGTACAAACTTACTACTTTTAGTACAGCTAGATACATAAACAGAAGTTACTGGAATTCTTAGGATAAGATTTTTTGCTGTTGTTGTTGGTTTTGCTTTATTTTTCAAGTTAGGGTTTTACTGTGCAGCCCTGGCTGTCCTGGAACTCACTCTGTAGACCAGGCTGGCCTGGAACTCAGAGCTCCTCCTGCCTGTGCCTCCCAAGTGCTGGGATTAAGTGCTGCCCCCAACCCCTCACTATGGCTGCACATTTTTTTGTTGCTGTTGTTTTGTTTTGTTTTTTCTCCTTTGAGAGTATAATGAACGTGGTCACAGCACAAATAAAGTCAGAAGTAGGACAGAGAACACTCTGATGGCTAGTTTGGTGAACAATCATCATTAAAAATGGTTGACCCCTAACAATAGGCACAAAAATATAGAGTATAAATAAAAAATACAAATTTTTCCTTTGGAAGTATTTTTAAGGAAAAAAAAAAAAAAAAAAAAAAAAAAGGCAGGGCCCTTGGAAGTTCTGGTTCTTTTTTGCCCCTCCTCTGTTGCAAATTCATGTTGTGGTTTTTGTGGGGTGGCGGAGAGCAAATGTCATCTGTGAGTGGCACTGCCCAAAAGGCAGGAGAGCCACATTTACACTCCGGGCGGTCGCCTTAAGTTTAGTTTTCACTTTTTGCTGTCTAGTCATTGCCAATGGCCTTCTGCTTCTTGGTGTCAACACCATCATTCTCTTAATCTTCAGCTACCTTCTTGCCCATAGGAGCCTCAGTTTTCCCATCTTCATCTCCATCCTCTGCCTCACCATTACCTTCTTCCTTTTCTTCATCTACTTGTGAGCCTCCAGCTCCCTATTTTCTCACTAGCATTCCCATTGTCAGGAGCATCTCTTCTGTTCTCTGCTTCCTCCACAACTTCCTCATCTTCACATCTTTGATTGTGGGCTCAGAGCTGGTGTTCACCGCTGCATCTGACATGGTGGGGCATGGTGACGATCTGATGTGAAGGTGAGGTTCTGGTGAGAAGGCTGTGGCAGTGGCCAGCTGAGTCCAGCAGGCAGAGAACGTGGCTGCAGTGAGCAAGGAGCAGACCCGGGAACATTACAAAGAGGGCTTTTTGGAACAGCCAGTAGGGGTTAAGGTATATTCCTAGTCTGTTGGAACTTTACTAGTTAGTTTCTTTTTGAAAACTGTTTTTGGTCTTTGTGTAAATTCCCACCCCTCCTCCAAATGGAAGAAATGATTTCTTTAAAAAGATACATCTAATCTCTGCATTAGTGGTATAGTGGTGACCACAGCTGCCTTCCAAAATTAGGGTTGGGATGTAGCTCAGTGGGTAGAGTGCTTGACTATTTACCATGCATGAGGCACTGGATTTAACACCCAGCACTGAATAAAACCAGGTGTGGTGGTACAAGCTTGTCATTCCCACACTTGGAAGTAGCAGGGTCAGCAGCTAAAGGCCATCCTCTGCTATACAGCAAGGTGGAGGCTTTCTTAAAGCAGAAAATATACATATTAAAATGTATTTGGGATATTGGGTATTTTAAATTTCTTTTCTAGCTTGGCTTTGCCAAAGTAGAATTACTAACAGTATTTGACAAACATTTCAGAACCCTTCTGGCTGGTTTGTTTGCCACTTGCCCTGTTATAGCAGGATGGCTTCCATAAGATATAAATTTAACTCATTGTGGTATCCTCCAATAGTAAAGAACCATGGTCGCTAATTTAATCATAACCAAAACGTCTTTAAAGTTAATTAAATGTTAATTTATAGTTTATATCTTTTCTTGCCCCAAAAAGTACCTTTTGAAGTGTGCTTCATGGGACAGGCATGGTGAGGCAGCTGAGAGCTTGATCTTACTCAGGACTGAGGAAAAGGTCAAGGGAGGTACACCATCATTCAGATAGGAGGTTTTCTTGTTTGTATGCTTGTTTTTTTTCTTCTTTTAAATTTCTTTGAGATAGGGTTTCAATGTAGACTAGGCTGGCCTTGAACTCTATGTAGTCAAGGTTGAACTTGATCTCAGTATTCTCCTGCCCCTGTCACCCAAGTGCTGGGATTACAGTAGTATGCTATTATGTATAGTTTTTTTTAAGATTTATTTTTAATGTGTATGAGTGTTTGCCTACATGTATATATGTGCATGTACATGCTTGGTGCTGTGGAGGTTAGAGGAGGACTTCAGGTCCACTGGGACTGGAGTTATAGATAGTTGTGAGCTGCCATAATGGATATTAGGAATCTAACCAATGTCCTCTGTAAGAGCAGCAAGTGTTCCTACTGCTGAGCCATTTTGCCAACCCCATATGCCCAACTTTTTAGGAGTTTATTTTTACCAATAAAGACTAAATTCAATTCTGAGATTCCTTGCAGAAGAAAGTAAAAAAGGTGCCTGGCATTGGTGGCTCACGCCTTTAATTCCAGCACTTGGAAGGCAGAGGCAGGCAGATCTCTGACTTTTAGGCCAGCTTAGTGTACAGATGGAGTTCCAGAACAGCCAGGGCTATACAGAGAAAGCCTGTTTCAAAAACAAAACAAAACCAACAACAACAAAAAAGGATTTCATGAACATTTACAGGGATCTAAATTAACAAGGGTCATGAGCATGGCATTGTATTAGATGTTACAGAAGTATGAAAGGCATAGTTATTGAGTAGCTAGGTTTTGGGCGGGGGGGGGGGGTGCTAGAAGTCTCATCCAGTACTGGTAGATGGCAGGCAGGTTCTCTGCTACTGGATACCTCCCCAGACCTAACTAAGTTGTTTTTAATTTACTATGAACACAAAGTATTATTCAAATACTCTTTCTTTATAAACTTACCCTGATGTTCCTAATGTTTGGATATTAATCCCATATAAAGTCACAGTCAAGGAAGAAGCAGCACAAAAGGAGATCAGGCCAATGAGCATAAAAACCACAACAGTAAACAGTGACGGCTTATTAGTCTGTGACATCAGGAGAGTTACCTAATCTTTTAGAATTTTAGTAGTAAACAGAAATCACAGCCCCCATTCTTTTCAATATTGTGAGGACTTAAGGAAATAACAGAATGCAATATACATAAATGGTTCCAGTGCTGACATGTTTGTCTTCATGAAAGGCAATGAGTGATAAAGCCACACAGTGGTGTTCTCAAAAGATTATAAGTGATGCAGAATTTGGCAAAGTCCTTTAGATTTAATAATAAACAACCATGTCCACTTGTAAAGCAATCCAAAGTTTATAAACCTCTCTTGAGTTAGCAAAGTGATAACCTAGTTTGAACAAACATTTCTTTGCTTTAATGCTAAATCTGTAAATATCATTACACAGTCGTATGAAATCTGCAGCACCAGAAAGTATTGTTAAAACTCTGAAACAAGGCAGGTCTTCAGAGGCTCTACCTAGATTCTGTGTATCAGGGTCGTGTCTATTCTATTATTTTGTGCAGAAAGAGACTATGAGTATACAATCATCAAAATTCCATTTCTTCAAAATGTTTCCAACAGTATGATATCCAGGGGAGTGAGGTTTAATTTTAGGGCAGTTATGACATTAGAATTAAGACCACAGCTGTCACTGGGTATGAACACATGCTGAGGCCTAGAGCAAAACCTTCAATGTTAACTGTGCACTTGTACTGGCAGATGAACACAACACTCAGAACAAACGCTGGCTGCTAAAGTTAACTGAATGGGTAAACATTTGATGACCTAGTATTATTCTCTTTTGTGTGTGTGTAGACTTCTTAATACAAAGTAAATTACTAATAACAGAGTATTTAATTTATTGGTTGATAAAGAAAAATAATATAAAAAGGATGAATTTATTCTGAACTTTCAGCTCTATCAATTTACCTGCAATTGTGTTACTAGGAGACACATATTTTAAACCTTAAAGTAGTATAATAAAACTGACTTTATAAACATGGATTAAAAAAAACTTGCAATTGTTGCCTGATTTGCTAGCACTCAAGTCTGACATATGCTCATTTTAAATAAAGCTGTTTTGATCCAATATAGGACTAGTAATGAAAAAGAATAATTTGGAAACGTATCTCAATTCTCTATTTCAGTTTTTCAGCTCAGTGCAACGTTAGTCATTCTGAACTATATAATACTTCCAATATTTGACCATTTTGACACATGAAAAAAAAAAATCACAAACCCCACGCCCCAAATGTGAAGTTTTTCTGGGTCAGAATAACTATGAAATTATGGCTCTTTGCTGGAATTTGGACAGTTAGCACTTGTACAGCCTTTGATTTGTACTGTACTCCATGTTAGGCAACTTATATGATGACACAGACATGGGCCCTAAGATCATAAGCAAAGAAGCAGAGAGACTCTAGTCACTCCAGGCAATCTGTCTCAGCTTACTAGGGTAAGGCATTTGTTTAAAATTTAGAAGATATTGTTATTCTGCATTATCTACATATCCACAGTTATTTCAGACACACACTGTTGTCTCTATATAAAAATACCTTAGGGAGCTGGCAAGATAAATATTAATAGATAAAGGCACT